TTAATTTCATAATGTCATTTAATTTCTTTTATGAAATAAGCATTTTTTATATCTAATTTCTGAAAATATACTATTTCCAAAATATATAATTTTTAGTGAATGACAGAGTGGGAAAGAATGAGTGAACAAATGAAAGCAAAAAAGGAAGAGAATTTCTTTACTTGGAAACTTTAGTGATTTTAATAAAAATCGATTTATATAAATTTTAAAAAGAGAATTTATAAGCTTTAGATTTAAATCTTAGTTAATCTAGATGTTTACCTCTTATTGTTAGTTAAATAAATTTAAATATTTTTCAATATGATTTGGAGAGTGTTATGTAATGTGATTCGCATACTTTAATATTATACGAGTCATTAATTTATCAAAAATGTAATAATGATGGATAGGTTAACACGAATTAATGCAATAGTCTGTTAGATATATCAATTATTATAACAATATTTTCTCTGTGATAGCCGTAATTCATATAGGTCTCTAATTTTATTTTTAAAATCACTAATTCTAAATTCTATAGATTTTTATTTGTCATTACTTACAAAATTATTTGTAAACATTCCTTGCAGACAAAAGAATTGTTAAGTAAAATATAGTGCAATACTATGCACGTAATATGACAGAACACATAATACAATAAAAGAATGATTTTTGTTTCAGTAATTTTCTCACGATATTTTTTCGTCTATGCTTTTCTATAGAGATTAGGATAATTTATTTTAATATAAAATCTTGAATTGAGATTTACTCAGTTATTTAGTCGCGGAAAGAAATATACTCTACATATACAATTTATTAAAAAACAATTTATTAAAAAAAAATTAATTATTTCTGAAACTGAGGCACTATTATTCACATTTGGCTCTCTCTTAAGAGTTCGAAAAATTTATATTTATATTTTACATTTAGAACTTTACTCATTTTTTTTAAATTCATGTCATTTTGTTTGATTGCTAAATTTTTGATGAAGATATGAAATCTATATAAAAATCGACATTAATTGATTAAAAATGTTTACAAACTTATAAACCAGTTTTTTTTCGGGATAACTAAAATTTTGACTCTGAGAAAAAAAGTTGTAATTTTTATAATGTATAATTATTATTTATCCTTATTATATATTTAAGATTATTCTGTATGTATTATATATATATATATATATATATATATATATATATTAATATGATTATATTTATATATATACATACACGAGATCATATTTAATATAATATTTGTTGATAATTGATTATTGGCTATTCTCACTAATACTTAATATCGACATAATCTGTTTTAGATAAGCAAATTAGCAGAAAGCTACAGACATATGACAAATTTACCAATATATATCTATATATCCCAACATATTTCAAATATTCAAAACAAGATACGAAGGCGCATTTTCGAAATCAAATGTCAACAGAATTATTTTCAGAATTTTGTAGAATATCAATAATTTCCGTTTAATGAAAGTAACAATTATGACGCAAACACATCTATATATCTTTCTTACAAATAGCTTTTTATAATGTTTATAGTTATCGACTTATTATTTATGCTTATGTGCTTTAATAATATATAATTAAATGTACGTATAATATATAATTAAATGTACGCATTTACAAAGTTTAATTTACTCGCAATTCACTGATGTTTTTATTTCCTTATTAACATGAAGTAAAGGAAAGTGTAAATTGTATTCATAATAATATATAAATAAATAAATTCCCGATTCAGCGACTTCGCCCCGATATTTTTCTCGCCTACGTCTCTTCAGGGGGGTCTCTAAAGAGGGTTTTATAGAATTCTCAAAAATGAGAATCTATATATCTTGGTAAATGCACCAAGTAAAATATATGCATATGCCTTTCTCGTTTAAATTTTCGCGTACAATTAAAGAATTTTCAGGCATTACCATCCGCTGTGGCTCGGAGACGCTAGTTTTCTTATCTTGTTGTTTAATATATAAATAATTATAATTAAATTATTTTATATTATAATTAAATATATAATTAAACTAAGTGTAAATTATGTTCATAATTATAATATATAAATAATTATAATTCAATTATGTTATATTATATGAATAATTTTAATTATATTAAATGAGAAAGTATCTGCAATATATTTAACATTATATTATTAATGTACTAAAATGTATTATCTAATTAAATTGAATTCTGATTTATATTTTAAATTGTATTTAATTTGTTCTATATTTGTAACTTTATATGTTAATATTTATTAATTATGTTATCTTGAATCAAATTTTTTATTATAGTATAATATAGATATAATAATGCATATTAAATTTAAATACATCTAAATTAAAAATTTATAAAAACATATTACAATTCTTTAATATTTATATATGTAATAACAACTATATATTTATTTATTTATTTATTTATTTAATGCCTTGTGGCTTAGGATGACTTCCGTCAAACCATTACATAAATTTACAACATATCCATAAAAATTGCAAACATGTAACCTGATTTTTATCTACATATATATTACAGATCACCCTAACTAACTAACTAACTCCCACTCTCATTCAATTCTCTGACTGTCCTTCAATTTCCCTCTCCACTCCTATCCTCCCTTCTAACCTTTCTATCCATCTCATTACTTCTGAACCTTTTCCTTCCTCTCTAAAAATTCCTCTAACTGTATCTCACTTTTTGTCGCTTCACATTCTTTTAGTATATGATCTAGGTTCTCCTCTTCCCTTTGGCATAATCTACATCTCCTATCCTCTTAATTCCTCCCTCCAATGTTGGCTGCTCTTCACCTCCCGCATCTGTACCTGGCTATCATCATTTTATCTTTTTTTTTCTTTTTCCTAGTAAATACCTTGATAACTCTTCTGTTAAACATCTCTTTATATTTTCTATTGTACCTTGACTCGTTTATCTTTATTCGCCTCTCCTCCCTCTCCCTTTTTTCTATTCTTTTTTCGAAATTCTCCGCCGCCTCCTGGTCCTTCGCCTCCATTTCTCTTCTCAACTGTTCCCTCTCCATTCCTGTCCTCTCTATCAACTCTCCTCTCTTCCTCTCCCCTTTCCTCTTTCCTTGTCCTGCCTTTCTCTAGATCCTTTATACATGGATTATTTTCTTCTCTGACTTCTTCTTCTCGACTTCTCCTCATACCTGACAGCTCTCCTTATTGCCCTCTCTTTTATTCCATTTTATTCCTCCATTTTATTTTGGCTTCTTCTTCTATTATATAATTCGGGGTTCTTCTATCCAGTCCCAAAATCCATTTAACATATAATAATTGCAAATAAATCGGACATTGAATTTATGTTATGTATTTATAAACAAAAACGGATTACAAATGTTTGCCAAAATATCTTCGTCTATCATCATTTGTGTGATAATAATTATATCGCACGCGTGTCTATTGATGGTTTCGATTATCATATTATAAAATTTGTGCATATCTCGCAATCAAATATTCCGATTATTGTAGATTTATTTATTCGTCGCGTTTTCTCGCGAATTTTAAATCGCGATTTATTTAGTAATTTAATTGTTGATTTCGAAGTTTATTCTATCTTTTTATTTTGAATATTTCCTTTGATAATCTATACAAAATGCTCCAGTAATGCAAATACTTTCTTTTACAATCGAAGAAACGATCATAATTTTATTAATGTCTCTTTTGATCACGATTATTTACGTTATATAGAACTTATTAACTTATTAACTATTAACTTATTAAATGCTATTATTACATATCTATTATTAATAATAAATGTCGTGTAATTAATCTTCGCAATCTCGTCTTGGACTATGAAAAAATTTTTAGTAAATTTTATATTGTACGTATATTTTGAACATTTTCTTATAATAAATTATTCCATGTAATAAATTATTTTGTATTAAATATCGACTTATATTTTATATTTAATTTGTATATATTTTGTCATATAATTGTAAAATGTATTTAGCATAGAAATATTATGCATAAAAATATTATGTTGGTATGAAAATTATAATAAAAATATATAAAAATAATGTTGTATAGCTATATTAATGGAACATATAAATTCTTTATATTTTGTTCTTTATATTTTATATAAAGGAAGAAACTTAAAATATTTTGCAACATTTATATTTTCGAGTCTTAATTAAAAAAACTTTAGAAGAATCAGTGATTAATTTGACAAATTCTATACATGTATATAATTAAATATAAATATAAATAATTAATAATTAATATAAATTAATATAAATAATAATATTAAATTTTAAATAATTAAAAAAATGGTTGATTAATATCAAAGATCAGTTTTTACTGCTAATTAAGAAGATTTATAGAAATACAGGTTAAACAATGGTCAATTTTACGTTTTTTGCAAATATTTTAAAACTATTAATTTAACAAATATTAAAAAACTATTATTTAAACGAGGAGCAATTGTTAAATTCGGAGCAATTTAAGGAGCAATCGTTTGAGCTATAATTTNAGAATACCACTTATCTTGGTCACGTATTAATCCTCTTTCGGTTAACATGATGAGCTATTGTCGTCATGTCTTTGGATTATATGTCCCAATAGGGTTATTTTATAGCATTTCTTTGGCAAATTTACACTCACTAGCAAAGACATAATTAGTTATAATAGTTTAATAGCGTCGATGAACCAATTATATAATTAATACGTATAGTATATACTTATGTAGTGATATTATTTGCAAGTGAGAAGGTTTGCGTTGAAGAACCATATGTATTTTAACTTATTTCTTTATATTTGTCTTTTCTAATTCCTGCAAGACCACCACAAAATGACTCGACTTTGACATATTATTTGTAGGTCAACTGCCACTAAATAATCCAAAAATTTTTGGTCTGTTGCTCGTTGTTTATTAAAAGTTATATATAGAAGACGTTATGTATAACAAATTCAAGATAAGAATTTTTAGATACATTGTGCAATTAATTGACCTTTTATATGAAATTATAAAGGAAAACATATTGAAGAATTTTTTAAATAATCAACGAGCGACGTCTAAACTTTTTGGATGTACTATCAGTGCATGATTTGACAATATAAATTAAGGTTAAGTCATTTGGGTGGTGTGTAAAGTTAATATTTACCAATAGCGGTGCAATTTTTTTAAAATAGAATGTATATAGCAATAGATTCCATATTTACAAAGAAAAGTGAGTTTTTAAAAATGCTAATTTTCAGTAAATGCAATAATACATAGATAATACAATTTAAATATTTTTACATTTTTATGTTTCTTTTATTTTGTGTGTGTGTATCAAAGTCACTATGTTACATTTGTCCGACTTTAAATTATTATATATAAAAAAAGAAAAATTATCATTCAGATTCCACATAATATATGTATACATGTAGAAACTGTGTATAATAAGATAATTTTGCTACATAATATATTTTAATAATTTTAAAAATATTAATTTTAAAGTTATATGTTGAGTAATCATTTTTGTTATTAATATTTTATATTTTTAAATTATTTATTCTATATTTTAAGAGTATAAGAGTATAAGAGATTTTTTTACATACACGTAGAAAGTAAGCTCTAATGCATTTTGCTATTGTGTGTTAAATCTAATATTAATTAAGTAATATATTTAAACTATTTTCTATAGGCTCTCCCAAGGACCCAGATGATGAACTTGTTTGTGGTACAAATTCAACAGGAATCTCTTCATTTCGATACTGAATATAATACATCACTTTATAATACACCATTCAATATTTCTTTTGAACATTACAGTTTTATTAAAGGTATGATAAAAAGAAATAGAATAACTGATACAAATTTTAATTTTATATATAAGGTGTCAGAAACAGCAGTGATTGGGGAGGGGAAGAGCCTTCGCCGCGGGCCTACACACTCATCGCTCTTCCCCTCCTCAATCACTGTTTCGCCGCGACCGCTATTATATTAAGTGAGATCACCTTTACCGCCATGCATTTCTAGCCACGCGCATTGTCCGATCTTCTTTAATTAATTTTTCGTTCATTATTGCGAATGTCGCAAAAGTATAGTACCTTCCTTCTTAATTTAAGCCGATCTACCTGCACACTTCGGGACTGCAAAAATGTTCTTGACACCCTGTATAATCTCTTCATTATACACATGCACACATATATATATACGTAATGAAGCTGTAGTATATAAAATTTATATATATATATAAAATATATTACATATATAGGATGTTTCTTTTTAAGTGATACAGTCGATTATCTCGCGAACTAATGATTTTATTGAAAAGAATTTTTTCGAACGAAAGTTACGCAGCTTGAAGGGGTACACATGATGATAATATGAATTTGACCTTGTCAAAATCAAGTCAAGGTCATTAATAAATACTTTTTTACATGAAAATCTCTATTTTTATTACATATTCTTGTAGATTACCTCGAGAGCTTTTCAAAACGCTATAATAAAGTATTTTTTCATTGAGTACTTTTTAAGATATTTTAATTTTACATAAGCTATAAATATCTAGTAAAATATTTATTTTTCGATTATCTTACCATAATACTTTTATGTATTAAATAATGAGACGAATCAATTGATCTAAAGAAAAAAACATAGTTGTTTTAAAAAAAAATATGTAATTGTCAATTGCAAATTAATGTGTTTAATATCAGTTTGCTTAAGAAAGTATTAAAATTGTCAAACTTTAACTTATTATATCTTTTAAACCAATGTCGCCTTTCGTTTACTTTTTTGCGCGGAATTATTCAGGATAACTTCCTCTATAACATATTCAAATGATCATAAAATCGGTGATGTGTAACGTTTTATGCACTTTTACCATAATTATTAATTATTATTTACTATAACTACTATCTTATTCATATTCTGGTCTAAATTATATAATTATAGTATCCAGTATATTGCGTAAATTTCAAAGAATGGTTACTACAGAGATATTTTGGCAGAGTATCCGTATATATGTAAAGGACAAGTAAGTAATGCACCATACTACTATAATTATTATTTAAATTAAATCTATTTTATTTTTTTTAAACTTACATCATTTCTTTCATACTTTATTATCTTTAATATTACCATTTACAATTATTTTTATCTTCAATGTCATTAAATATTTAAGATATATTTTCAATTTACATATACACTTATCTTTTAAAAGTAATCAAGTGGCCATTCTTTTTAAATTATAATTTAAACTGTAGTATCAAATATTTATTTAAAAATTGTAAATCATATGATGAATTATGTAATTAATTATATATTTAACTAAATTAAACTAAATATAATTAGCAATTTTATATTTTAATAATTATATAATATATATATATATATTAATAATTATATATATTATATATATTACTAATTATATATATATATATATATATATATATATATATATATATATGCTTATAATATTTTTCGTTAACACATCAATAAATTTTGAATAAATTTTATAACTTTAGCAAACCAACTTTTAACTATTTTGGTGAAATTGGTGAAGAACCTTTCGTCC